GAGCTTTTCCATCTTCTCTTTCCACAGATGTAGTCAATTTGATTTCTATGTGTTGCATCTGGTGAGGTCCATGTGTATAGTTGTCTCATGCTTTCTAAAGAAGGTATTTGAAATAAACAAATCATTTGTGTTGCAGAAATCTATCCTTCGTTCTCCAGCATCATTTCTATCACCAAGTCCAAATTTTCCAACTACTGGTCCTTCCTCTTTGCTCCCAATCTTTGCATTCCAATCACCAGTAATGATTAGTAAAACCCAAACCCGATGCCATTGAGTGAATTTTAACTCACGACAATGCCTTGTAAAGTGTAACTGCTCCATTGTGGCTTCTTGGCTGTAATCCTTATGGACGTATACTGCCAGGTAGTTCCTCTGCAGTGTAGCCAGGTGTGCTTGAACTGACAACCTTTAGATTAATAGTTGAGCACAAACCATTTGTGCCACCCAGAGACCTTCTATTGTGCCTGGACATTCTTGCGGAAATTATAAATTATAGAACAAAATAAAACTACACAAATAGTTCATATCTTTGTAGTCATTTATTTCATATAACGATTTCAAACCGCTCAGAGTTTATTTAGAGTAAAGGCAATACTTAATTTCTGAATTCAGTAAACTGCCAATTTGCAAATTGTTATCACTGTTAAAAGTTAAATAAAAAGAGGAAAGGAAGTTCCCAGATTTCAAGGCAAACTTTAAATTGCCAGGAGAGACTTTATGGACATAGGAACAACTAGCTAGAACAATAGAGTCTGTAAAACCAAAAATGTCAGAAACAGACCAGTGTACATAAAGGGACTTTAATTTTAATAGCTAAGGCTTCAAGGTTCTATGAGGAGCCATTGAAAACTTCATGGAAAAATTACACTGCCTTCTCATTCCATTGTTCCACGACATATTTGAAGCTGCCTTCTACAGTATCCTGAAGTATACGGACCATCCCCAAACTGACATTTATTACTCTTGTCTCTCTGGTCTCCGGCCAGTTTTCAGGGAAGCTTCTTAAAACCGCTAAACGTACCCTAACAGACTTTACGATTGCTTCCTCGCTTCTCAAGGTAGCCACATGATATATATTGAATTGTTTCCCCACAAAAATAGGTGGTGTAACCTAGGCCCTGGTAGCACTGCGGGTTAAGCGTTGGGTTGCTCACTTCTAGGTCAGCAGTTCAAACCCACCAGCTGCTCCACAGTCGAAAGATGAGGCTGTTCGCTTAAAGATTTAGTCTCAGAAACCCAATACAGGGTCTCTATGAATCGGAATCAACTTGATGGCCGTGAGTTTTGATTTTAGTACACAGCGAGTGTGATAACTTGGTTTTGTAGCGTTGGGGAAGTGTTGAGAGAATATGTCTGACCCTTTCTGTGAACTGTGCAGGCTGCACTCCACGAAATCTGGGTGCGAGCCTTTCAAGAGAAGCAAAGCCCGCTCCGCCCTCGGTGTCCCAGGCTATGCCGTTTGACCAGAGTGAGAACGCGGGACCCTCCCGGAGACCTAAGTCGTAGTAAGAACTACATTACCCAGAAATGAATGCGGCACCCTCCACCAATGCAAACCCGAGAGAGGCGTTTCCGTGCGTGCGGTAGACGTCTGTCATGGACTTCCGGCGTCTTTCTCGCGGTGGACATTTTCTCAGATCTTCGCTTGCGGTGCCTGAGCCAGGTTCTTGTGTTCTTGGTGACGGCAGCGGGTAGGTGATTGGGGAAACGTTGTCTCTCGTGGGGCTCGGGTTCCGGCCTGACCGTCCGCTTCTCACGGCCGGGTGCGGTCCATGGGCAGGTGAGGGACGCAGCGTTCCTCAAGCCCTCGTCCTCCGGGGTTACCAGGTCCTGAATAAGGGCGCCTGCTCGGGACAGACCGCCCTCACTGCTGGGGGGAGGCCGGGTCGGCAGCTGCGCTGTCTGTCCCGCGGAGCCGGGAGCGTTGCAGACTCTCAGGGTCCTCGCTTCTGAGGGGCCCGAGTGTGAGGAGCCATCCTGCTGCGGTGGACGGGGAGGGGGCGCCGACGGCAGAGGGAGAAGGGAGATGGAACCAGCAGCGTTTCCTGCAGCCTCGGCTGGAAGTGCGAGCAGGACGTGAGGGCCGGTCGTCAGGTGGTGGTGGTTTGGGCTTTTCTGGTTGTTGGTTCCTCCCGGAGTCCCTGGAGGAATTGCGGCGGGTAGGCTGGGCCAGGTTCCCCAGGGGACGGGACGGGACGGGACGCAGGGGCTCCGCAAGGTCTCGGGCGGGAGGCGGCGTTCTGGGCCGGGGCGTGGGGTGGACCAAGCCGAGGCTGCAGGGCTGGGAGACTCCCTCCAGAAGGGGGCAGCCCTCGAATTGAAGGGGGGACTGGCTGAGGCGTGGGGTGCTGATGACCCCACATCTCAGGAAGGGCCAGGAAGCCCCTCCACAGGCCCGCCTTGGGAGGAGTGAGTAACAGGTGGGCAGGATGGGTAAATGGGCTAACAGAAATACTTCGCCTCCAAGGAGCTCTGGTAGCGTAGTGATTCCAAATCGAATCGGGCTGTGAACCGCCAGGTCAGCAGTTTGAAAAAGTACCAGCTGCTCCGTCGGAGAAAGATGAGGCTTTCTGCTCCCGTAAAGATTTACAGCCTCGGAAACCCTGTGCAGGGTCGCTATGGGTCGGAACCGACTCCACGGCACAGAACAACATAAAGTTTACAGGAGTCCTGGGGTGGCGCTGTGGGTTAATGCGTCAGACTACAAAGTCGTTTGAACTGCAAGGTCAGTGGTTCAAGCTCACCAGTCGCTTCTTGAAAACCCTATACAGGGTCGCTATGGGTCGGAATCGACTCGACGACACTTAACAACAAGTATCTGATTACAGTGTCGAGTTTTAAATATGGCATTTCCTTAAATGCTTTAAAAGTCGAGAAAACACACCCAGATTGTCAGAAAAAAAGTTGGCAAAAGTGTCAAACCCGTGGACGTAATATCGGTTTCACAGCGCTCCCCATATGTAGACGTGTTTGATAAGAGCTAGAGACCTACGGCCTAGGCGCCATTATTCCTACTTTGTAGTTGAAGGCACTGAGTGAGGCACAGGCTCAAGGTCACAACTGGTAGGAGGCAATACTGAAGACTGAGTATCTGAAACTAGACCAGACACAACCTAAAGTCATCTTGCCAAATGCAGGGCAGGGGTTAGAGAATTCCCACCAGGGTCACCTGCCAATCCCAGCCCCCTCCTTCCTGCCATATTCCATGTTCCATGAAGCTTACACAATGTCCCAGGCCCTCATCTGACCCAGCCCCACCTCCACCATCTAGGTTAACTGATAAGAGGAATGGTGGTGTCCTGCGAGTTTTCACCTACCCTTTTACCTGCCATTTTATCTGGAGGTCCTGCAGTCACCAGAGGCTCTGTAACCTGAATTCAATCCTGGAATTAATATGAAAAGGTTTCCATTTCTGGAAAGCAGGGAATGAGGTATTGGCTGGTGTTCCAGGCATGGGATCCATCATGTGCTAATGCTTCAGGTGAGGCTGAGCTGGGAGTGTTCCGGAAACTCAGATCTCCTTTGTGTCTGATGGGGGTCAGAACTGGGGAGAGGAGTCAGTCCTGGAACGGCAGGCAGCCTGAGGAGCTAGGCCAGTATTCTGAGAGTGGTGAGAAACGGAAAGTTGGAGAGAGAAAGGAGTGATTTCATTGGGTCTAACTGTCTTTTTCTGGCTTGCACAGTGGAGAAAGATCCTGGTGGCGAGGAAGGAAGGAGCACTAGTGAGGATGCTATTGCAGCAGTCCAGGTGAGTGTCGGTCGTGTCTGGGCCAGGGTGGTGGCCATGTGGTTGGCTCATGGATCCAGATTTTCATATTTGGAGGGTGAGAGATAAGGTGAAGAGTCAAGGATGCGTTTGGTGTGAAGATGGAAAAGCCAGCTGAGATGGGAAAGTTGGTATGGGAGTAACTTTACCAGGAGTTAGGTTTTGGCCATGTTGAACCACAGTGGGATTATATCCACAGGTATATGGGTTGGGATTTGCAACACTTTTTTTTTTTTTTTTGCTATCTAAAGGGTTGGGGGGAGAAGAGGGTCTAATAGGTGGTGGTCTTCTACCTGAGCGACATTACCTGAATGCTGAGACATAGCAGTAACAGGTGGGCTGGCAGGGAGGTCCGAGCTGGTGGTTAGCCACCTCTTCATGTGCTCACTAGACTTTCATGGGGGTGGGTCCTTGAGGGAACTTAGAAAGTTTCTGTTATGCTATCATGTTGGCAGATTAGCTCAGGGGCACATTGGTTCAGCTGATTATCACTAGGCTTAAGGTGGGAGACTAGTGATTGTAGACTTTGAGGGGAATTGGTTAGGTGTTAGGAGGAAGGTTGTGCCTAGAGGGGATACAGCTTGTGCAACAAAGAGTGGAAGTGAGTTGAGTTCTGCACATGTTCTGGGTGGCTGAAGTTGAAGCACTGAAGCAAGGAATAGGGCCAGGAGGGAAGAAATTAAAATTTGGGAACTCTCCCCCCACCCCCAGCTACCCAAGTCAGTGAGGACCATTGAGCAAATTTGTTTGCTTCTGAAAGGAATGATCTGGGGACTCAAAGGGGTTGGCTGGCAGGAGAGGGGTGGGCCCTTGCATGCCAGGCCCAGAGCTTATATGGTGTCTGTCTGCCCACTTGGCTGTGGTTGCTCTGTACAAAGTGATGAGTGGGATATGAGATGAGGATGTAGGTAAGAAAGTGAGCAGGGATGGTCCTGGAGAGACAGGACTGTCCCTGAACTTGGCTGTTTGCTCTATGGCAGGGCCATGTGACCTTTGAGGACGTGTTCATGTGCTTCTCCCAGGAGGAGAAGAGGCTCCTTGAGGAGGCTCAGGGGTGCTGTATTAGGATGTGATGCTGGAGGATCTTGCACTCATGGCCTCACTTGGTAAGGTCCTCACACGCTCCAGTTTCCTGCGCTGGGTCTTGTCCTTCCCCTTTGCCTTGTGGGCCCTCTCCCCTTCTTATCAGTGAACTCTGACCACTGCTACTTTCCCCCAGTTCCCTTACGCAGGTTCATTGGATGCCAGGCTTTGCTATATGCTCTCCAAACTCCTGTAACTCTAAGCCTTGCTGGGAAGAAGGGTTTAGGAGTCCTGCCATCACCCAATAGATTACGTTCTGCTTGGCCACTCCCTGGCCTTTTGTGACTCTTTTCATATCCATGGCACTTTTGTGCCCCAGATTTGCCCCCTTATTTTTTTAGCCAACATCTCCTCCTTCCTGCCTGTGTTACGAATTGCAGTCAGGGTCATTGCTTGTGAGACCCTCTGAGATTCTTGAGGTCCTTTTTGTCATATTTCATTTCTTAATTTTCATGGGTGCAAGTTGCTGTGGCTTAGTACTTTTTCTACTCCCCTGTGTCATGTTTCCCCTAGGACTTGTCTCATCCCGCTTCTCTGTGGTTCCTGAGCTGAAACAAACTGTAGAACCCTGGGTGCCTAGTGGGGAGGGCATGACCCCAACAACAGCAAGGGACTTGGATGGGCCTAATCCTGGTGAGTGGACGCTATGGGAGGGTGTGACTTTAATGCTGGAATCAGATTGTACCAGTACCCCTTTCTTTTCTCCCTGCTTTTCACAGTTTGCCCCCTTGTCATTTGTCCTCTGAGCTAATAGCATCCTCTGCCTCTCTCTACTCAGCTACCCACCATCCTCTCTACTGCTCCCATTTCAGTATTGGCCTACCCACCGCCTTCACATCCATACCAACTTGTAATGACTGGGACAGAGTAGAACTCCATAGGGCTTCCAAGGCAGTCATGTTTATGGAAGCAGACTGACACATCTTTTGTCCCATGGAGCAGCTGACAGGTTGGAATTGCCGACTTTTCAATTAGCAGTTGAGTGCTTAACCACTACACCAGCAGGGTTTCTATGAGATGTGCACCTATCCTTAAATAGTCCTTGAATACCAGCCCTCTTTTTTAGTTCCATTTTACTGGGTCTAGGCCCATACTTCTGCATAGCACTAACCTATCACCAGCAGCCAGGACCTTGCTTCTACTTCCTGTGCTAATTCCATTCCTGTGTCTTAGCCCCTCATGAAGCCTTCCCCCCATTCTGTGACCTACACAGCAGCCCATTCTTGAGATGGACCCCAATTCCATTCTGTGGACTCAGTCCTTGGTTTCTAGGCACGCGTTTGTGATGGAATTGCCCCCACCCACCTGTTGCATAGTCTTCACCAGCATTTCTCTGCTTTCAGGCTGTTGGTGTGGAGTGCAGGATTCAGAGCCACCTTCTGAACAGAGTGTTTCTGTAGAAGGATTGTCACAGGCTAGTGCTTCCAAGGCAGGTTTGTCCACCCAGATGACCCACCCTTGTGACATATGTGGCCCCATCTTGAAAGATATTTTACATCTGGCTGAGCACCACGGAACACATCACGAACTAAAACCTTACACCTGTGGAGCTTGTGGGCGACAGTTCTGGTTTGATGCAGACCTGTACCACCACTTGAAGCAATACAATGTAGAGAACCCCTTCAGAGATGATAAAAGCAGGGCCTCATTTGTGAAGAAGAAGGTTTGTGAAGATTATCACCTGTCAGAGAAGCCCTCTACGTGTAAGGAGGAATGGAAGAACTTAAGGTCCAACTCTAGCAGTCTCCAGCAAAAGGTCACCCATGCTAAGAGGAAGATATGCAACAAGACTGAGGGTGGGAAAGTCTTTGACCCTGGGCAAATGCTTTACAATTGCAGTGACTGTGGGAAAGCATTTGGCCGCAAAGACACATTTATTCAGCACCGGAGAATCCACACTGGAGAAAGACCTTATGAATGCAGCGAGTGTGGGAAAGCCTTCAGCCGCAGAGATAACCTTGTTCAGCATAAGCGAATTCACACTGGAGAAATGCCTTATAAGTGCAGTGAGTGTGGGAGATACTTTAGTCATCACTCCAACCTGATTGTACATCAGAGAGTTCACACTGGTGCAAGGCCTTATGAGTGCAGTGAATGTGGAAAAGTCTTCAGACACAAATCCTCACTTGTTCAGCATGAGAGCACTCACACTGGAGAAAGTCCTTATGATTGCAGTGAATGTGGGAAATCCTTTAGTCACAAGTACATCCTCATTAAACATCAGAAAATTCACACTGAAATAAGACCTTACGAGTGCACTGAGTGTGGGAAATTGTTTAGTCAAAGCTCTGACCTTATGGCACACCAGAGGGTTCACACTGGTGAAAGGCCTTTTGTGTGCAGTGAATGTGGGAAAGACTTTATCAGAAGTTCTCACCTTGTTCGGCACAAAAGAGTTCATACTGGAGAAAGGCCATATGAGTGCAATGAATGTGGGAAAACCTACAGCTTAAGCTCTCACCTTATTCGGCACCAGAAAATTCACACTTTAGGAAGGCTATAGGAGTAGGGGGAATGTGCACATATTCCTCAAGACAGCAGAACTCTCACAGAGAGAAGCTCCATGGGTAGCCTTTGGGAGGGAACTGGTAGTCAAATGCCAAAAGTCATATATCTGAACATAAACATTGGTGAGTTACCTTACGAGAATCAGGTACATGGGACGCTTTCAGGAACGGTGTTGCACTTTCTGATTTGCTCAGGTTCCTTACCAAAGTTACGTCACTGCCCATACATGTGGCTGAAACCTTCTTAACTCTACCATCGGTTGTAACCTTCGTCTCACCCCACTGAACTCAAGGAAGGCTAATATCTTTACTTTCTCTCCATCCCTGGGTGGAAAATGAGAAGCTTGAATTGAATAGGGTTCTTATTTCCTGCCCTCTGCTTGGTGTAAGTGTGGACCTGACCCATCAGTGGCCAAGAGGACCTGAACTGTGTTCTGCTGGTGACTTGCAGAGGTTTACTTCCTTTATGAACATTGGTCTCATGTGATGCTTGTGATGAATTTTTTCCAACCTCCAAATCACCTAATCCAGGGGCTGCTTGCCTCACATTGCTCTGCTGTATACAATAACAAAGACATTGCCATCTTTAACCCTGGGGATTCTTGTCACTGTCTGTGGTGGTTTGAAAACAGAAAAACTTGGGACCTCCAGCTTTGTACTTGGGAAGAGATGGCAAGTTGGCAGTGAACAGTTTTCAGTCCAGTTTTGATGTTAATTTCTGTTGCTTCCAAAAGCTTCTTAGGTAAGAATGTAGAGCATTGTAGGTCTAATCTCGTTGAGATTTCAGAGTTGTCTGAGGGTGGAGACATCACCATGAGGAGGGGTCAGTTTTTGTGATAACATCAATCCAGTGTTTCAGAGCAGCCTGAATTGATTCTTTTGTTTCCAGAGCATGTTCTGTGTTCTCCAGCATTGTGGAAGGGGCGTTGTTCCTCCAGATGGAATACCTTGTCTGGCTGGTACACAGGTTTACTGGCTGTAAGACTTACACCATCCAGAAAGGAAACAATATTGATACAGAATCACTGTTAAGTGCTGTTGAGTCTGTTGCACCTCACAGCCACACCATATAGGGTTTCTGAGGAATGGTTGAGGGATTTGAACTGCCAAGCTTTCCTTTAGCAGCACAGTCCTTTTACTACAGCACCACACCAAAACTCCACAGAAACACTTTTTTTGTTAAGTCCCTTCGAGTCGGTTCTGACTCATTTTGACCCTGGTGGGTTTGAAGAACTGCCAGTCTTGTCAGCACTCCAGGGCTTATCCTAGAGCATCACGCCAGGACTTGTACGAACACTAGGGGTGAACATTAGGGATTTGGGGAGACTGCAGCAGACTAGACAGAGTGTGCGTGTTGTAAAGGTGCCTTCACAAACATCCAGCCACTGATCTGGCTGTTGGCATACAGAAATAGCCAGCCTCTCCAGAACTGTGTCGTTAAGACAAAGTCACTGGAAGAGCAAAGATGTTAAGGTTTCCCAGATTCTTGTTGCCTCCCTGGACTGTTCAACTGGTGTCTTTTGCTGCATAGGCCAGAAGTAGGACTGAGAGAAAAAAATCTTGTAGTCCAGGGATATAGCTTTGGTGATCCAGTCAGAGATCCTGGGGATTCTGGTGGAAGTGGCCTTTAGTGCTCACCATATTCCCTGCCACTGAGGAGGTGCCCTTTCTTCCAGGGTAGTAGCTAAGAGATCTGTCACCATTTGGTTGCCCAATCTTTAGGGCTTTTAATAGAAGCAGCAAATCCAGATTTTTAAATGGAGTCACTTTATACCTTTATTAAGTTGTAATCAATGTGAAATAACTGGCACATACTGAAAGTGTTAATTCAGTAGATAAAGTTTGGGATACTCTTGTGAAACCATTATTCTGCTCATGACAGTGAACATAACCATCATTCTCAAATTGACCTTCATAATCACTTCCTGCCCTTCTAACCTCTCTTCCTTCAGCACTCATTGCTTTACTTAAGACTATTTAGAAATTTGCATTTGCTGGAGTTCTTAAAAGTGGAAGCATGATGTGGTTACTTAGCAATATCTTGAGATACATCCATGTTGTGTGTACATGTAGCTCATTGTCTATTTCTGAGTACAGGCATATCTCATAGTTGTGGGCTTGGTTGCAGACCACCACAATAAAGGGAATATAACAAAAGTGAGTCACATACAGTTTTTTTTTTTTTTTTTAAGCGAGAGTGACGTTTTCTTTTGCAAAATTGGGCGCTCAACCCAGTAGACACGGGCAGATGCCTAATTTTTGGTTCCCTAGTATAAAAGTTAATTTAGTGTGTAATAATAGCCTTATGAAAACTTAAACTGAGAATTAACACAATGTAGTAGACATGAAGTGAGCGAGCACATAATATTGTGAAAATGGTGCAGATAGACTTGCTGGACTGAATTGGACACAAAGCATCTTTTTTTTTTCAAAGTTTTTATTGTTTATTGACTGAGTGAAGACTTCCACTTACAGGGCAGAACACCAGTTTCACATTCAACAGATCATTGTAATGATTACAGTCCCCGCATGCATCCTTAGCCAACAGTGTTTACCTCTGTTTCCTTTTTTCTCTTGATGTATACATACCACATTGTAAATAAATACTCATTTAAATGTTCAAGGGCACATTTTGCAAGCCAGCCTCCTCCTAGCAGGCACGCTGCTTTTCTCAGTCCATGGGCCTGGAGTCTGTTGCTGCTCTGTCTCTATGCTGTCCTCACTGCTGTTCTGGTTAGGATCCCTTGCTCCTCTCATGTTCTTCCCTCTTGATGGCCTGAGGGTCTGCTGTTCCTGAAATGACACATTAACTGCTCCCCTCTTAGTTAACACTTCTCTACATTTACAGTTGTGACAATCACCATTAGACCTGAAAAAGTCACAATTGAGTCATAAAATCCTGTCCCCCTCATAACTAGACCTTCTGGGCATGAGGAAAACTATTGAGTAGGCTTTCTGTCTCACTCCCCTCATTCTAACACTGCGTACCCTCATCAAAGCTTGTAAGCCAGCAGCTTCGTGCCTTTATGTTAAGTGCCGTTGAGTCGATTCCGACTGACAGTGACCCTGTGTAGGGTTTCCCAGGAGCAGCTGGTGAGCTTGAACCACTGACCTTGCAGTTCAAATGTCTTTGCAGTCTGACACATTAGCCCACAGCGCCACACCAGGACTTGTGCCTTTATAGCCTCCCAATTTTGGTAGCTAAAGTCTAAGTTGCCTGCCCCTATCAACCCAGTGTACTGAGGAGACATGCTTTATTTTTGATATGAATTCTTCCTTATTTGGTTGAAATTTTGGGCAGCCTCGTCTGTTATCAAGGGTCCAGTTGATCAGGTTGTAGCAATTTATGCTTGCTTCCCGTATCATACATCTTTATCTTCAGATCTGGTCTAATTCTGGTCAACAAGCCATCCATGCTATGTCCAGTGGGTACTATCTGCAAGTCTGGGAGTTCTCGCATGCCTGCTACCTATTCAGATCAGTGCTTTGCTTATCCTGGGTCTCTTTCCATATAAAGGTAGTAATTTTCTTTTTTTAAGTTTTTATTGTGAATTGAGTGATAGTTCACATGGGAGAACATTGGTTT